ATAATCTTGGAGATGCATTTCTTGACTTTGTTGTTCATGCTTTTTTTTTATGTCTTCTGGCTTATAATATAGAACATGATGCTTATAACAGAAGTGAACTCAATGGTTGCTAACCAGAAAATTGGTCGTCATTCAATCCTGCATTTTTTTTTGTAATCAAGCATGTTGGACCTTATATGTACATGATCTGTCTGATCTAGCGGCGCACAATTCACGGATTGTTTTGGAATTCTGCTAATAACGCAAAAGAACTTGGATTTATTCGAAACTTTCTATAGGAAGATTATTTTTGAGATTTTGATTCCAGAGAAGTTCCCCGCTCATCATGTCAAAGACGTGATCTGAAATTTATCAGAACTTCTAATCTGGTAAATGATGATGGAATAATGTAGTAAGATTTAGTGGTATTAAATCTGCTTTGAGTTTTTTAAAATATGTGTGATAAAGAATGATGTCGAAGTGGGCATTTAAAAGGCATATTAGTAAACGCGTCTTAGGGGACTGATCCCAGTTTTGCTCTTGGAATCTTACACACATTTTTTCGAAATTATTCATTAAACAGTTCTGCTCAAATAAACGTGGGCGATCTACCGGATTATCGATTATCTTTTTGAAGCCATATTCCATTCGGAAGACTTATCTTGGGCTCAAATGGGTTTTTACACTCTTATTTTGCTTCGATCGGAGCTGCTGCGCTAGAGTCTAGAATTCGCCAAGCCATTTAGTATCAGAGAAAGGCGCAAGACTTTCTAAACGTCTTCTTATCAGGTTGAAGCAAGCAAATTTAAATAGTATTGTCAAATTATGCTTTGTCCATGAAATTTTTATTTGAAACCCTTCGCAATGGATTTCAATTCTGCGGATATAAAGTTTTTACTATCTTTCATTTCACACAATTATTGCTTTCCAATTTTTTTCTAGAAATTTGCTGTGGGCAAATCGCGTTCTAAATTATTGCTGTTCTTATTTTTGTATTTGAGTGAGCGCATTCTTGCACTTTCGCCCATGCACCCTCACTTCTCTATAAGGACTAAGTGCCTTCATCCTATGATCTCTGAATCCGTTTATTCGATGTTACAGTGGCCATCTGAAAACATAACTACCAATGTTAGTTTGCAGATAACAGATGTCAGCGATTGCATCAAACCGCCTACATCTTTATAAGAATGCCGGTCGAGGTTCGGCACTTCGGGACGCACTCAGAAAGGTCTGTTGGAAAGAAATCCATCGAGCTACCAATTTTAGGCAGTACAGTTAGTAGGTCGTGAAATTCCACCTAACTCTGCCTCCAACTTTCTTGTTTGCAAAATGCTCTCTTGTTAATTATAAGTCTACTCTGTGAAAAAATGGGTGCCGCGTGCAAAATGTAAACCAAATGCAAACCATGCTTAAACCGAAATTATTTTACAACCTAATATAAAAGAAGAAAGGTCAGATTGTCTGCACGTTCGCGCTATGGCTATACCCATACTCTCATGGTTAAATCAAGGAATTTCCTGAAATCAATAGCATTTATTGAGCAGCTGCCATTTTTCTAGAATTTTTAGAAGTGTGCTGAGAAAATACGCGAAAAGCGGATGAACCAGTTCGATTCTCGACGAAACCTCGAGCATGTTGTGCGCGAAACTGTATGTCAATTTTCGTGCTACTTTGCTTATTTGAAGTCGCAAGAGCCTTTAAAGGTGAGCACTGAGATGAGAACAGAATTCGCCGACTATGATCAGAATGCATTACTGGAGCTTTACGAGTCTATAACTAGAGCCCTTATCGAAGAAGGTAGAACACGACAACTTCGAATTTTTCGCTATCTATTAGCGCTAAAAGCTACTGTTTAGAGTATGAAGATATGCAGAGAATGGAAGATGAACGATTAGAAGCTGATGTGGAAGAGTTTCTTAATCCGCCAGTTTACTGCCCTTCTTGTTTGCGAGCACCGCTGACTGTCGATCAACAGTCAGCCAAGTGTAAAGTGGGTACAGTTGAAAAGTAGCAAAAGTAGTTTTTTGCTCAGTATGTATTTTTTCCAGAATTGCTCCTTTCGACACGATTTTAACAACAACTGCCCTCCACCCACTCAGTCCGAACTAAGGAGGTTACTCTCGGAAGGTTTCCTTACTCATGAGGCCACAGAATGTAGCACCCAACCACGGGCCGTACAGCACAGTGGCCGACTAGGGCTGTTTTGTGATGACTGTGGTTTTGAAACTATGATCATTTGAATGTTTACAAACTTGTTTTCTGATTCGAGTTAATGGCTGCAATGCAGCATCATATCCCATCTGCCTCTTCCTTTACATAAATATGACTTTAAGGTGAACAAGTGCTTGATATATTTATAGCTTATCATTTCATTTCCTGTGCTACCACTTGATGTTGTATCATTGGATATTTGATATCGAATAATCTATTTGTAAATAAAGTATTTGCTTGGCGAATTGCCTTGTTAAGGTGGTGTATACGGAGCAGTGCAATCTTCGGAATAAGATGCAGCATGTTTGGCGCTGTCTTACAATACAGACTAACATGCGAGATTTTTTGTTGTCATACTCAGCTCTAAACCAGTATGACGCGGGTTGGTCCAACTATTAAGCTTTTATGGATTCCCTGAGAAAAATATCATAACTGATCACGATATCAAGCGGAGAAATTAAGATCTATTCTAGCTGTATTGAAAACTTATTTGATGCTATTACCTTTTCCTGATGTTAGTAATTGAGAAATAAACCTGGTCTTTGTAAAGCTTATTCAGATTACTAAGTAACAAACTTGCAATATATGTACTCTAGTGGAGTATTGCCCTCTACTATTGTTTCCAGTCTATTGATGTAACTTCTCTACTGGAAGCTCCCGAAAATAACGTCTAGATGTATAAGATGATCTTGATGATCTTGAACTACATGAATTTTATGAAGAACATTGTTTTGCTGCTGTGCGCTCTGCGCTTCAATCTTCGTAGAAGCTTGTCCTATAGGTCAGAAGTTTATGACACCTACTGGTAATATGTGAGGAATTAGTATCGTTTCTTATTCCACAGCGTCCTTTTGAACGTCTCCACAGATATAGTTGGCACCACAGTGTTTGATGTTAACCGCTTTATCCCCATAACTATGCGCTTTTAGCTATGCCATAATTTGTACCGCAATTCTAAATCAGACAACGAATTTTGTTGTAAAGGCGTTGATAAATGATGTCATAGCCCAACAAGGAATTTCTATAAGCTAGTGTCCGACAGTGATTCTAATTACACTAGTGAGATATTTGTGAAGATGCATCAAAAACTGAGCATTTCCAGTATGTTTAGTATAAGTTATAATCACAAGACGAAGTCGAAAGGATGATTAAAGTGATAACAGACATTTGCAGCTGATTGTTCAAAGGCTGAAGAGCTATGGCTATAATAATACTACAGGATAAAGCCCGTTCTTATTTTTGCATATGACCGACATCCGATTACCTGGTGAAATAATCTATCAACTACCATCGAGCATAACCTAGGCACCAGATAACATTGCAAACAGGCCTCGGCGGCAGGTCTCCGGAAGGCAAGCTAGAATTCGTTTTTGTGGAAAAAGCAAAGGGG